TCCCTCTCTCCCCCCCTCTCTCCTCTCTCTCTCTCTCTCTCTCTCTCCCTTTCGCTCTCCCCCCCCTCTCTCCCGCTCTCGCACACAGACAGACAGACACATACACATACGCACACACAAACAAACACACACATAAAAATACACCCACAATCATACACACACAAACAAACGAAATTACAGAGCGCAGAGCCTACATTTAGAATGAATTTTAGTGTTTTGTGCCTATAGGGTGTTAACATGACATAGAAAATGAATACCCTCTCTCCTTCAAGACATACAAACAAACGAACAAACAGGAAATTGGCATAAGCGTGCTGTTCTCACCGTGATACAGACCCCACACATTATAACTATTGTACATCAAATGTAAACCCTACTTTGTTGTGCGTGCATGTATTATTTCGCTTGATACTTTAGACCAACTCATATCGTTTTAGACTACCCTCGGCATTCTTTAGATAATTAAGGAGGCGGCTACTTTGACCCTTCCTGTCATAGATAACTTAGAAGAGTTGTACCCTCCGGAGCGGTGCTACTGACAGATGTGTCTTCAGGCCATTCCCAAAGGGGGCACCTTAACCTGTTCTTATGCACAGTAGAATTGTAAATTGTAAATGGGCTGATTCATCGATGCAATGCTCATTTTAATGTGCCTGAACTGCAACAGGGAACTGCTACTTTTTTCTTTCCTAATCCTTATTATCGTCATTTTATCTTTACTTCTTTTTTTATCTTTGTCACCCTCTTGTGACACGCTATTTCCGAAGCAGACTGTGTGCTGTTGGCGCTAGAGAGGTGAGTAGAGTAAGCCTGATTCCCTGTAAGGCCTTCTCTGTTGACATCCACCCCTTGGCGCTCATATGACCTTATGCAGTTGCAAGCTCCGTAAAACCTCTACTTAAACTAAACTAAAGAAGAGTTAAACGGAATGCAGTATTCAAGAAAACCAGCAGAAATACAGTCGAACCTTGTCTAGCGGTCACCTGTGTAAGACGATCACTTATACAAACGGCCTGTTCTCACTACCTCCCCCTTCCCTGGAGTCATCATCATCCAGTGCCAGATCTGCGACAAACATCGACGATCAAGGTTTTCCATCCATTCCTTGGCTCGGATGCTCATAAAAGAGCTACGTTTCCCTGGTCTTTCCGCGTTATCCATCTGTTTAGTTTCCCCAAGTAGGTTGCTCTGGGCCTACCCCTGTCTCGTTTGCCTTCAATTTTGCCAGTGAGCGCTAGATGTTCAAGACCCCCTGGAGTACTGGAGAGTATTTTTTCCTTTGTAATGACACTGTGTTAGAGACGACCACCAGTAAATTAAGATGGACACTTCTCTACTCAGCAATGGATGGCTGTCTTAGAGCGTTTCTACTGTAGTAGAGTAAAATTCCCTGCATGAGAACCCAACTAGCGACACGCGCGTGCGTGCAACAGCTCGAGGAGTGTAGTCATCAAACCACAGGCTCTTTTAAAATAGTTTTGTTTCACACAAAATAAAAGTTTTTACGCCACCATTAACGCTGTCTAGATCATTTCAGAGACGGGCTTCGACCCGGCGTGTGGGGACCCACCCAGGCTAAGAGATATAAAATATTGCTGCAGAAACCCCCCCCCCCCCCCCCAACAAAAACTGATATACACCTTGATAAAAATTATCCCCACTCGGGAATCGAACTGAGTTCTCCCCTGAGTTTGACGGAGAGGCACCACACCGCTACACCACAGACACGAGTCTCGGGTCTGTGTGGTCTCAGGGGTCTACGACAAATCAAATCACAAACAGAATGAAGTACTTTTATGACCGTGAGCCCGGCAGTCCCAGATTGCAGTTCGGAGAAATAAGCCATGGACAGAGTGGAGTCTATTGCGCATTTACTACTGTATTGATTATTCCAAGATAGTTTTTTTGGAACCCCGCCCGCAACGTTCTGTGCCGGCGGCGTCTGATGGTGAAAAGAAATGAGCGCGAAGATGAAAGCAGATAGACCCCGTAAAATGAATAAAAGATAGGTTCGAATAACGAAATGAAGTGTGCTACTTTGTGACTCCCCTTTATTTCCGTCGATGAATTTCTTCGAAAACCTGTATTAGGTGCCTACCAGTACCAGGATCTCAAGAAAAGAAATAAAAAGATTTTTTTAATGGGTGATAGCGTGACGAAAACAAGTTCTAACTAGTAGACAGCCTAGCTGCTCCGGAAAAAAAGGAAAATGATCACTATGAGCAAAATTCCGACTAAATGCTTAGGGAAATAACTATGGAAGTGCAATTTAACCCTTTAATCTGCCGATTGGCTTTAACTCTAAACTCTACTAAACACGTGACAAAATCTGTGGACTGGTAATTTTTGCCCCTTTATCGACAAGCTGGAAGTCTTCCTTCAGAGCACATTTTCACTTTTTCTCTGGGAGGTGCTTTTGGGTGGGGTGGGGGGGGGGGTAGAATTTTGAAATTTTGGAAAAACAGTATAAGTGTATATCAAGCAATCGTCCAAACATAGCTTTCAAGACACGTTTCGCATCATTTCGAAAGACGAACACATAGTCCCCGACAAAGCACGAGTTGACTGCAAACCTCTTTGTTTATTTAAAATGTGTGACCTCTGGGTTTGGCGTCCATCTCCGAAAGGACCGAGCCAAAGAGGGAAATTCGCCTTAAGTGCCTTTCCCAAGGACACTACGTCCGACCGAACTGAGGCTCGAACCCACAAACCCGCAATCTCCCAACTCTCTCTCTCTTGCCCTTTTTAACTCCCAGTGGAGAACAGGCCATCAACAACATTACTCCAGCGAAGCCTGTCCTGAGCATCCTGTTCTATCTGTTTCCATGATGTCCCCGCTTTTTCAATTTCCGCTGATACCGCTCGCCTCCATGTCATCTTTGGTCTTCCCTTCTTACGCTTTCCTTGTGGGTTCCACGTTAAGGCCTGCCTGATGATGCTTCTCCGGGGTCTCCTCGGGGTGTGTCCAATCCATTTCCATTTCTTCACCTGAATATCTTCCTTTACTGAATTTCCCAACTACAAGTCCGGTAACCTAACCACTACGTCACCGACGTCCCTCATAGCTACAGTGACCCAACTTTTAAAGTAGCAGGCAGAGGATAAACGGTATAAGTCCCAATTTTAGAAAGTTGTTTATTTGTCTGTTCTGATCTTTTGCTTGGCATGCTCAAACTTGTCCATCAATTCCATATGTGAGGCAGCGTGGTGGAATAAGGTTCTCGTCAAAATAATAAAAGTGAAGAAACTGGCATTTTTCCACAGGTTTGTGAATTTTTATCAAATTTTTGTTTTTTGGCTAAACACCTTCCGTGCCCATTAAATGACTCATTTCTGTGTGGATGTTTCTAAAAAGCTTTGATTAAAGGCACAAAAAATGTAAATTTTCAGTTACCACGACTCTCAAGCTTAGGAAATAACTAATCTTTGGCGGCTATTTTCTCATTTATTTTACTTCTGAAAACAGGTGACCCCCACATCCTTCTTTCGCAAATATCTCAACTTGTATTCAAGATAAATGGATATTTTTTTCCATCCAAATAGAGACAAGTGAATAAGCTTTAAGATGATACCAATAACTCTACATGCCCAAAAATTGACGAGAGCCTGCTTTCACCTCGCTGCCTTCCATAATATTACTCTAGTATTGGTTATCATAAACAACTATATCCGTTTTTGTCCAGATGTTTAACGTTGACAAAACATAAGGGCCCGGAGAACTATTGCGTGTTAGTAAATGTAGAGAGGCTTACCATCAGGAGGACACTTGGAGCCGTCGAAACCACAGGTGGGCGTGTCTGGGGGCGGTTCCGTGCGGCCGCCTGCCCAGTGGATATCCACGCCCTTCACTGGCTCATACTGCTTCCGGTTCCCGTAATAGTTGGCCACAACCTGCAGAAGGAAAACGTTTACGGTTACTTTTCGATTTAGGAGTTTTGAAACTGTAAAGAAAAGACAATAACAAAAACATCCCCCTCCATCCCCCCCCCCCAACAGAAACCAACACAGCAACAACAACATGTGATACTAATTGTGTTTTTATAACGTTAGTATCGTCATCAGCAGTAATCGCAGCAGCAAAAACATTAGTACCAAACGGACCATCAAATAAGGCCAGCACGAATAACAAATCAAAACAAAAACGAAATACACCCCCCCAACCCCCCCCCCCCAAAAAAAAACAACTACAAAAAACAATAACAAAACAAAACCAAAACAAAGGAAAACGAAACAGACAAACAATCAAACAAACAATCAAATAAACAAACAAATAAACAAACAAATAAAACAAAAACAAAAGGAAAAACCAACGTTGATCCCAACTACGTCAGCGACAAGAAGAATACCGACGATAACAGACGCACCCACGGAGATGGACAGACGGACAAGTGGACAGCCAGAAAGGCAGACATACAGAGAGAGAATCAGAGAAATGAAAAAACAGACGAATAGATAGACTGGAAAGCAGACAGACAAATTGACTAACAAATGAGGGCTCTCGTGGCCTAGAGGTTAAAGTGTTGGCCTCTCATTCAAAAGGTCCCGGGTTCGAATTCGGGTAGCGACCGAAACATTTTCTTCTCTAAATTTGTCTCCTTTCACCTCCTTTCCTGCTCTCTAGCAATGTTCTGTCGTCTGCTTTCGTCTCCTCTTTCTGCCCTCACCCCCTCACCTCCTTTGCCCCTTCCTCTGGGCTCCTGATTCTTTCTGCAGCCTTTCTACTGCTACTCCTTCGCTTCTTCTTACTGCTGTCTTTCAGCCACACCCCTGATCTTCTGGTAGGAAAGATCTACACCTAGCCTTCTCGGACAAGGGAGAAAAATCTCGGAGGGCCCAAGCTGCGCACGTTAAAGATCCCTTGGTGGTCAAAAATCGATAAGAGTAGGCTTCGGCGGCCACCCGGGCAAAATTCAAAATGTCCTACCAACTGAAAATATTAGGTGTGTGCCGCGCGGTCATATAACCTTATGCAGTTGTGAGCGCCGTAAAACACTTTACAAAAAAAACACAACCAACAAGACTAACAAACAGGCAATTGACAGACACATAAATAAATAGACAAATAGATATAGAGAGAGAGGGAGAGAGAGAGAGAGAGAGAGAGAGAGAGAGAGAGAGAGAGAGAGAGAGAGAGTGAGAGAGGCAAAAAGAGACACAGAGAGAGAAACAATGAGAGAGAGAAAAAGAGAGAGAGAGAGAGAGAAAGAGAGAGTGAAAGAGAGAGAGAGAGAGAGAGAGAGAGAGAGAGAGAGAGAGAGAGAGAGAGAAAGAGAGAGTAATTGGAGGCTCTATAAAACTAACTATCCAAAAATGGGCGTAATATCAAATAAAAGTTCTTTCATCAAAACTACCTAATAAAATTGTTTCAAGGAGAAAGTTGCCAGACAGACATCAACACCTCCCCCCCCCCCCTCTTTTTTCCATTTCTCGCCACCACCCACCCACCCACCAAAGTCTGTTCAACATGTCAACAGTACTTCACTTTTCACCACAATGCGTCACCTAATCAATCCCCACAACGTCTCCGACAAGACTTCTCAGCTTCCAGAGATCTTTTCACTTCTCACCTGACTCCCGCCGTCTTTCCCCTCAATCTCTCGTCTCCGATCACACAAAACTCTCATCTCGTCTCACCGAGCCACCTTCTTCCTGGACATCCCATCCCCTGTTACCCCCCCCCCCATCCCCCCACCCCCTCTCTCTCTCTTCCAATCGCCTCTTCCCTCCCTTCTCAGTCTTCCCATCTCCTCTTCCCTCCCCTTTGTCTTCTCTCCCCTTGAGATCTTCTCGGTTTACCGAAAAAGACGGTGTCAGTGGCAAACAACTCCTGGTTCGGGATGATGGCCTATTGTAATATTTCATTACGTAAAAGCCCTGCTTGCAGACGATAATCCTCAGGGCGAGAGCCAGCGCTAAAAAGACGCATCAGACACTTGAGTGTGTTCTTCCTGTCTGGCTGAATTATTCACAAACTGGGTTCTTGCACTGATCAATAATTCCCCGGAAAAGAGCAGCGTTGAGAGCGATTGTTTCGCGATCTTCGAGTGAAAATGAAACACTTGACAGTGGGACTAGAGAGGATTCCGTTCCGTTTTGAGTCTGACTTTTTGAAGAAGAGCCGCGTCACTAGCATGGCAGACGATGTGACGAGACGCACAAAGCACTCTCGTCCAATAAAAAGCCGGCGTCTGATCAGCTGACAGTTTGACCGGAACTAGACTATTGTGCACCGTTCACACTTAACGTCTTTCTCGAGCTTTTTATTTATTTGTTTTCGTTCAGTTATTTCTCATCCCAAACCAGCTCCTGCCCACCCCTTTTAACTCATAAAACATTGATAAAACAAGCCAATAATGCTAAGATTAAAACTAAAGCGAAATTAGATATTTACTCACGAAAAAATATGATGGTAAAACACGACATTAAGTTCTTTCAGATTAGTTTGAACAAGTCGTCATTAAATAGCGTTCTTAGCAGACCGTCTGGGATTAAATAAACGATTTATGGTGCAGCCATTAGAGGGTTGGGTACTATTTCCCATAACTCTGTCTGTCGACAGTGTAACAGATGAGGCTCTTTTCGGCGCTCCATGAGGTATAGGAAATTTGATATATCACGTTCTCTTTCAGTCCATCTTTTAAAACAATAGTTGGCCTACTCAGGGCAAAAGTACACCAGAGTTCTGTGTTTCCACATGATCCTATTCCAGTCGCAGTAGAATTCGTTTGAATACCTTGCTTCCTCCTCCCATCCATCACACCATTTCCACACCGGATCTCGTCTTCTCTTTCGCCCTTTCTTTTTTTTGATTCTCGAATTCGTAAATCGTAATTAGGATTTCCTCTCTCATTCGTGTTCTAGTCCGTGTTCTTGATGTTCTTTTTTATTGTCGTTGTTGTTGATCTTCTTTTTCTACCCATGATTTTAACTTTTGCTTCTTTCTATCGTTCTCCCAGGGCTCTTTGATTCTTCCCTCCTCTTCTTTGCCCATACTTTCATTTCTAACCGTCTCTTGTTTTGACGTCCCTTGGCCATTCTGTATTAACTTTACTTTTTAATAATAATAATAATAATAATAATAATAATAATAATAATAATAACAATAATAATAATAATAATAATAATAATAATAACAACAATAATATAATAATAATAATAATAATAATAATAATAATAATAATAATAATAATAATACTTTTTACTCATTTTCCGTTCGCCAGCTTCTTCCGTGCATTAGTCATGGACTCATATTATAACGCACCCTAGATCATACATTTTGACGTATCCCCTGTTCACTATGGAGCTCATCTTTTGAGTTGAATAAAAGATAAGGCGGGAGGAGGTGTTTGTTTTAGTAGACGTTTTAAGGCGCTCTCAACTGCATAAGGTCATATGAGCGCCAGAAGATTAGAAGTGTTACAAGAGAGTAAAAAACGTTAAAAGGAGAAGGGGAGATAAGGACGATAGATGCTCGATAGGAAAGGAGGAGCAAACCACACCAGAGCACCCGCTTGGGTGTAATCGCGGAGGTATCTTAGAGCACAGCGCAGAAACCACGACAATGTGAGATCTAGGAGACGATTCTGTGGTATCAGTCTACATTATTGTTATTTCGTTCTGTGGTGCGCTTATAATTGCGTAGTACACATCTATCTGACAGGCCGAATATGTGCTTTGGGAGTAGGGTCCGGTGGAAAGTAAATTAAAGTGCCCCGCCCCCTTCCTCTCGAAATTAAAAAAAGATCCAACCCTCCCTCGCGTTCACCAGACACACATCATCATATTAGAAACTCGCTGAGACAAGAAGGCTGGAGGCTAAAATATGAATGCCATCCATGTTTTCTTCTTTTTTCTGACTTTACTGAAACTGGAAAAATGATTTTTTTTGCGCCCCTCCCCCCACCCCCCCCCAAAAAAAATTAAATTAAATTAAAAATCATAGACTTGAATTATAATATCCTAAACCTTTCTGTCTGACGTTTTTCCGGTTCAATATGAAGCGCACCATTTTGACTCAATTTTCGCCAAAATTAAGGACAAGTGGGGAGATGCTATAAGCAAATTGGTTATAGCAAGACTCTCGTGTTTTGTTCTTTATCTAGATCTAGATCTAGGCGCAATGGCCATTGTGTGCACACTTTTTAGTGACGTTTTTGTTTTGCAGGAAACGAAGATCGGTGTCTATGACTGTTGACAGTGTTCAAACTTGGAGTAGAATTCGCTACCTGAGAATTACAAAGTTCTATCTGACTTTTTGGGGGTCGTTTTGAGTTACTTAGGCCAAGAGATTAAAAAAAAACCCAATGTTCTATTTGCTCTATCAGAATTGTCAGAATATTGTGGCGTCGGTGGCCTAGTGGTTAGGCTCTCGGACTCGCAACCGTAAGGTCGTGGGTTCGAATCCCGTCAGGGGCCCGACGTTGTGTCCTTGGGAAAGGCACTTTACACGAATTTTCCTCACTTCACCCAGGTGGGAATGGGTACCCGGCTATAGACAGCGAAAGATTTTGTCAGTTTGTTAGTGTTTGAGCGCTTAATCAGCTGCTTGCACTGTATGCTTCCCGGGAAGCTGAGAATGTTTCGGAGTGTTCTATGGTCTGCTGGGGTAATAATATAGTGTAAAGCGCATAGAGCCTGCTGTTGAGTGGGGATATGCACTATACAAATGCTATTTATTATTATTATTATTATTATTATTATTATTATTATTATTATTATTATTATTATTATTATTATTATTATTATCATCATCATTATTATTATTATTATTATTATTATTATTATTATTATTATTATTATTATTATTATTATTAATATTCGGTGTCGTTATCAAGATATTCAAAGAATTACATTCGAAAAAACTTGACATGAAGTGAAACTCAAAATCTATGAAGTAAAATCTCTCAAAACTAGATACTGAGAAGATAGAACTTTCTCATTCTGAAGTAGCGAATTCTTTGGGATGTACTGATAGTAGAGTCAGTGTCATATCAAATGGTATTGGAATGTGGTACAGATTCCCCTGGTCCACATCTACTGCCAAGCGGTGTGTTCTTGAGCTTTAGTTGTTGTAGAAAATATTATTTGGTACAGATTCCCCTGGTCCACATCTACTGCCAAGCGGTGTGTTCTGGAGCTTTAGTTGTTGTAGAAGATATTATTTCTCTTATCGGCCTACGTGGTGTAGTGGTTAGGCCCTTAGCTGTCTCGTGCAGAAGACGTGGGTTCGATTCTATTGGTGGGAATATTTTTTGTCTTTAGTGTCTCCATTTATTGTTTGTTGGGACGTTATATACTTGACAGTCTGGGTTGACCCTGACAGGCGAATTCGAAGTAACTTGCCGTTTTATTCGTTCTAAATAGTCGACTAGAGCTTACAACACCTACACGTTCAAAAGAAATCCACATCAGATCCCCCCCCCACTCTTCTTCTTTTTTCGTTTTATCTTCTCTCTTTCTCAATAGAAAAATAATTAAAAGAAAAAAAACCCTGTCCGTATTGGTGACAGAGGTTAACAATCCGGACCCCTGGCCCAAAGTTTTGAAAGGGGTTTCAAACTCGACCGGCCTTGATCCCACTACATTAAAACCCCCCTCATCTTCTCTCTGTCCAGTGCACGAGCACGGAAAGCAGAGCTTCAAAAGAGGTCCAAACGGAGAAACACAAACACATTTTCACGTCTGATTCGTCGACAACCGCCGAAAACAGACCCGGGTTTGAAGTCCAGGAATTCTGAAGACGATAGCTTACGCCTCCAAGTTTGATTCAAGACGGACTTGTTGAAAGTAAAGTCTGGAAAAATATGCGTCACGACGTGGTGGTATCAGGCTCTCGTTAATTTTTGTGCCCGAATCCTTCTTTTTATCTTTTTAAAGTTTTTTTCTTTTGTCTTGCTTTCGATTTTAAAAAGTTGAGATACTTTGGATTGAAGCAGTTGAGGGTCACGTGGTTTCAGAAGTAACAGACGTTTGAGAGAAAAAGGCGGCCTTAGTTTGTTTGGTGACTTCCAAACTTGAGAATCTCAGGAAACGTTACATTTACATTTTGGTTCCTTTTATTAACGTTTTTTTCAGTAAAAGTCACACAACAATGAATTTTTAAAAGGACGTATAAGGTGTTGAGCCAAAAAATAAAAATTCGATAAATCTTGCCACACTGGAAGAAAAATGCCGTTTTTCCCCCCCGATTTCATTATTTTGACGAGCGCCTGATTTCACCACGATCCCTCACATATTAATGTTTCCTCTCAGGCTTCTAAAAGAGAGGACAGCACGGCTCGTGTGCAGAGCTTCTGCTTATGAGTGTCTTCTAAGTTCGAATTCGAGATCTGCCCTCTCCACAACTTCAAAGAATTGAAGCAAGTCAAAATTATAGGTAATCTCTACCCCAGCCTCCTGAAAGGAAACCTAATTCAAATATGGCAAATATTTTAAAAAAAAGGTAAAGCATAGGAATTTTTGTCAAACGCTATCAATATAAAAAGATGTACCAAAGTCACAGATTTGGCTGGTGTAAACTTAATAAAATTGATGAAATAAAAATAAAACAGACTGTCTTTTGGAGGGGTGTTATAATCTTTCTTTTTCTATTTCTCTCTTTTCTAGATGTAGTTTTTCTTGCAAAAATGAATTTAACAAACCCATTATTTTTCTTCCCTCATTTTACAAATTAACTTCCGAGTTGCAAAGACAGTACGGACAGCTAAAAACATGGGCAAAAATGTCTAGTCTCAAGTAAGACGCTTCATAAATACCGGCAGGGTTGTGTTTTTTTGCGGAAAAACTAACCGTCTGAAAAAGAAATGTCTTTCCGCAGCGCCGGGAGCGACGTCGCAGTTTCCCGCTAATGCTCTCAGTTTTTCTCCTAATTTGATACAGGACCGGGGGCGAAACGAGAGTTGCCGACGTGCATTATTCGTATGAATTACGGGGGAACTTGTAATGACGTTATTGGAACGGCGAGGATATGCCATTACCCCAACGGAGATACGCTAAAAAGGCGATTTAAATATCCCAAGTCGGACAAGGGTTAGCCTAATTTGCTCTCAAGCATTGAGTTGCTTATAAAAAAAAGACCGTGGAAAAAAAAGCAAAACAACACTCGCCCCCCAAAAAGACAAAAAAAACAAACCACACATAAAAAACAACAACTCAACTTAATATTTTAAATTATTGATTTTGAAAGTACTGTTATGAAAAAAAGATTGATGGACTTTAGATTAACCAATTTTGAAAAGACCATAATAAAGATGAAGATTAAATGAGAGGGAACCCCCCCCCCCCCACACACACACACACGACGACAGCAAACGCAACACATTATGGTAACACAAATACAAGCAAATAACGAAGAAAACAACAACAACAGCCCCCCCCCCCCCAAAAAAAAAGGAAACAACAACAACAACCAACAACAACCCAACATACCTCTCCACCACAAAAAGGTTTCAAAAGCTCTTCTCCTTTCTCTTTTCCTCAGAATAAAAATAAAAAGATGTGGTAAGAGGAAAATTGAAGAAAGAGGGAAAGAGAGAGAGAGAGAGAGAGAGAGAGAGAGAGAGAGAGAGAGAGAGAGAGAGAGAGGGGGGGGTGTGAGATAACCCAAAACAGATCAATACGAACTTGACTGAGTACCGTCGCCATCTCCTCACTCTCTTCATCTGGGCGAGCACGAACGGCCACGAGCGAGTGGAGAAAGATACATTTGTCACTCCAAAGGACGCAAGCGCACCCTATGACTTCCCCCGGAACCACGAACTGTCTTCCTACTCCCCGCCATCTTTGTTTCAACCACAATGGTCGCTGTCCCCGCGACTTCTCAACTTTTCAAACTTTTCCCTATAACAGTAACCAATGACTTTAAACCGCACCTCAATCCCTTGTGCACGACCTCATAAAACATAAAAGCAAAACTTCGGCAGTCTAAGTTAGCTCAGTTCACCCTGCCAGGGAGTTCACGTCTTCTTTCATGGGATGTCGGAGGGCGCCGCTGATTGGTACAACTTCTTTATTATCCGCCTGTTAGTTTAGTTCGCCTGTCTTTCTTGCCTTTCAACACTGAATGGTCGTTCTTGGGTCGATGTGTATCTCTTTGTTGACTTATAGGTAAAACAATTGTGTGGCGTGCTGACAAAATGAGTTACTTCTCGCAATCCACAAATGGAGATATTGGCAAAAACTCAACACCTAGGTCAAATTAGTAGACCCTCTATTGATGCTCTTCTTTTTTTATGTATAACTTGCCTCTTATTATTTCATACTTATAAATTCTAAAACTTCACTTATAAGCATGATGTTTCTACTTCCAAAGGCTTGAATCCGAGAAGTAACTCATTTTGTCAGCACACTTCACAATTAATGCATTTCAACAGGCAGGGAAAAACGGGGTTATCTGAGATCTGTAAAGCGCTCAAAGCCTATGTACTAGGGGTTGAGTACTATTTGAACGTCATAAATGTTATATATTTTCATCTACAACAACAACAAAGCTTTGACTCTTGACTCACTACATGTCCTATTATTACCACTCAGCCTAAGAAGCGAGTTTGCCCACTCAACCCTTTGAGGTACCTCGCACTTAATCGCTGCCATCTCTTACCGCGGCTTCAAAGCTTTGAATCAAAAATAGCGAAGAGTGTTGACAAAATAAGTTGCTGCTCGCACTTCCTGAATGTGGATGTCGGCCGAAAATTGAAACAGGGGGGTAAATTTTATTCTTTTTCAACTGATGCCATTCCTTTCAAGTTCAATGAGGACTCTCATTATTTTGTACTACTAAACTGTGCAAAACCAACCTGTAAATTTGGCGTATGTTTTTCCTTAGGGATAAAATCCGAGGAGTAACTCATTTTGTCTGCACTCCTTCCTACATTGTCTCGTTGGGAAGCTCAGTGCTTATCAACCTATTTTTATAACCTTTACCCGTTTTCGCCACCCTTAAGAGGCTTAAATGTTGTACCACCCACCTACATAATGCAATTATCATTTCCAAAAGGGGCTATAAATACTGATTTTAACTCCCAGGTGTTCCCCGCCACCAAACTTCTTCACTCAATAATAATAATAAGCATTTGCTTTGCGCAGATTTCTGTTCGACACTAAGCTCTCTGCGTAGGATCTTCAACGGAAACAGGAAGTTACTCACCCTGAAAGTGGATGTAGCCGGATCCATATCCAAGAGGGAGTAGTCTGCGTTACGATCTCCATTAGCATCGATGCTGACAGTGCCTGAGATACCTGAAAAAAGAGAAGTGGTAGTTTTAGCCTATATTAACCTTGAAGTTAACACCCCTCTCGACTGTGAACATGATGTCATTCTTTGTTCCAAACAGAGTCGCAGAGATTATAACACGATGGATGTTGACGAACTCATTGGTGAAAAAAATGGTGAAATGGTATGGGTTTAACGCCCCTATCAACACTATTAAGTTATTTAAGGGGCGGGACCTCCTAGTTTAACGTCCGTCTCCGATAGGACAGATGAACTCATTCAAAAGAGATGTTATTACTAAAGACTTTGTGCCTTACCCTAGCGCCAAGGTTTACTTAATTTTATTTTCATTAACATTCAACTGTATTTTCCTCAGCAAATTGCTTTAAGGTTTGTTAAACAATACATTCTCTTAGAAATTAATTTTTGGATTGGTCACAGAGGAGAGTAGGAATATCTTAGATACATTTCCCCTCCCCTTTGACATAATTGGATGATTTGGAAGCAGGCTAATTCCGCTTAGCTTTTTAGTGTCAACCCGGGTTGAGCTTGATATACCTTAGCAGTCCCTTAGAACAAAAAAGTTAAACAACAAAATACTTTCTTCAAAAGAAACAACGGGCAGAAAGAAACGGATTTTTGAAAGAAACATTTCTTAAAGCGGAATCAGAACTGACATCTCTTTTTAAAAGTGCATCGACGAAAAGCCTAACTATGATTATTCCAAAGACGCCAACAAACTCACAGACAGAAGGTTGTTTCTGCTTTTTCCTTAGTGAAAAGTGACATCAATGTTGTGATGTTCACATAACCTTGATCTAAAAACAACAGGGTGCTATCTCCTTAAGATTAGTAGTATAATACAACGCTATAGCTCTGAGACTACAAAGTGTTGGGAGAAAAGTCCTGAAGTATTGGGAATTCCCAGAGGATGAGCGTCATGGAAGACAGACAAATTGCCTTGTTTTTCGACTCAACAGGACACTTCTTTTCTTGTCTAAATGTCTGTGCTATGTGAATGTGTTTTTCGTCTAATTCTGTCAGTTTTTGACTATTTGTGTCTTCTAGTTTTTTTCTTCGCTGTTCAAGGACGTGTGTATGCACTTAAAAATGTGCACGCACAGACACATACACACATACACATACACACATATATATATACAAAATGTGCACACACACAGACACATACACACATACGCATACACATACATATACAGACACATACATACGCACAGCCACCCACAATATACATACACACATACACACCCAAATACATGCATCCACACATTATATGTGAGGCACTGTGGTGGAATCAGGCTCTCGTCAAAATAAACAAAGTGAAAAAACATGCATTTTTCTGCAGGTTTGTGAATTTTTATCAAATTTTGTTTTTTGGCTCAACACCTTTCATGCAATTTAAAGAACTCATTCATGTGTGGATTTTTCTGAAAACCGTTGATTAAAGGCGCAAAAAATGAACATTTTCAGTTACCACGGTTAAGCTAAGGAAATAACAAATCTTTGGCGGCCATTTTCTCACTAATTTTACCTCTGAAAACAGGTGACCCCCACCACCTTCTTTCGCAAATATCTCGACTTACATTCAAGATAAATGAATTTTTTTCCCACCCAAATAAAGACAAGTGAACAAGCTTTAAGATGATACCAATAACGCTATATGCTCAAAAATTGACGAGCGCCTGATTCCACTGTGTCATGACACATATACTAACAGACATGCATTCACACAAACAGATGATATTTATATGCACACAATCGCAAACTTATTTACACACATACATGCACATACGTATTAGACAGATAGAGAGAGAAATAGGCAGATAGCTAACAGTGTATACAATATATGATTGTGTGTAAGTGTGTATGTGTGTGTATGTGTGTGTGTGTGTGTGTGTGTGTGTGTGTGTGTGTGTGTGTGTGTGTGTGTGTGTGTGTGCGTTCGTGCGTGAATGTGAGTGCACGTGTGTGTCTGTGTACGTGCGCGCTCGCGCGCGTGTGTGTTTAAATCCATAAATGAAGATACCTAATAGATAGACAGATAGGCAGAGAGAGACAGACATACATACTTATATGCAGACAGACAGACAGACAGACAGACATACGTACGTACGTACATACATACATACATACATACATACATACATACATACATACATACATACATACAGACAAACTCTCAGACAATTGTCCAGAACTCACCAATGAAGGTCCTGTTCCACATTCGTCGAGTGATCTCCGAGCCGTTTGAGATGGACACATTGTTTGCCAGGCTCTCGTTCAGGGCGATAGCGTAGAGAAGAACGGCGTCATGGAATGCACCCACGAAACTGTTCACCTGGAGAGAGATGGATGGATGGATGGATAGATGAATAGATGGATGGGCGGATGGATGGGTGGATGGATGGATGGGTGGATAGATACGTTGATGGATGGATGGATTGGTGGGTGGGTGGATGGACAATGGCGTAGAGGAGAAGGGCGTCATGGAGCGCACCCGCGAAACTGTTCACATGAGGAGAGATGGATGGATGGATGGATGAGTAGATGTATGGATGGGTGGATAGATAGATGGATGGGTTGTTGTTGTTGTTATTGTTGTTGTTGTTGTTGTTGTTGTTGTTGTTGTTATCGATCCTGCAACAGTTGGACTCTCGTCTTTCTGCCCAATGCCACGAAGAGGTAAGTGCAGGTTTGTTGCAGTCCCTGTAATGTTCCGAGATGGATGGGTAGATGAATGGATGCGTGGATGGATGGATGGAGGGGTTGATGAAAGGATGGATAAATGGATGTGTAGATTGGTGGATAGAAGGATGGATGGATGGGTGGATGGGCGGATGGATAGTGGAGGGGTGGATGGATGGATTGAAGAATGGATTGATGGGTTGATGGGTGGATGGATGGGGGGATGGATGGATGTATGGATGAATGGATTGATGGGTTGATGGGTGGATGGAGAGATGGTTGGGTGGATGGAGACAGAGACGCTGATAGAGAAACAGAAATAGACAATGACACAAAGAGACAAAGACACACAGACACTGAGGGAGAAAGAGAGATAGACAGACACATACAGAGAGAGAGCGAAGGGAGAGAGAATGAAAGAAGTAGAAAGAAAAAAGAAAGAGAGAGAAAAAGAGTGAGGGAAGAGAGAAAGAGAGAGAGAGAAAGAAAGAAAGAGAAAGAGAGAGAAAGAGAGAGAAAGAGAGAGAGAGAGAAAGAAAGAGAGAGAGAGAGGAGAGGAGCGAAAGAGAGAGAGAGAGAGACAGAGAGACAGAGAGAGACAGAGAGAGAGAGAGAGAGAGAGAGAGAGAGAGAGAGAGAGAGAGAAGAAGAAACAAGCGCATGAAGACAACCACTTCATGTTGACGATATATTTAGCCACGAAGGGAATATTTTGATGGGAGATGGATTTTAAACTAGGAGGTCCCGCCCCTCAAATAACATAACAGTGTTGATAGGGGTATTAAACCCATTCCATTACCGCTACAACAATAGAAGTGAAACGTCGGTGGCCTAGTGGGTAGGCTCTTGGACTCGCAACCGTAAGGTCGTGGGTTCGAATCCTGTCAGGGGCCCGACGTTGTGTCCTTGGGAAAGACACTTTACACGAATTTTCCTCACTTCACCCAGGTGGGAATGGGTACCCGGCTATAGACAGCGAAAGATCTTGTCAGTTTGTTAGTGTTTGAGCGCTTAATCGGCAGCTTACACTGTATACTTCTCGGGAAGTTGAGAATGTTTCGGAGTGTTCTATGGTCTGCTGGGTAATAATATAGTGTAAAGCGCATAGAGCCTGCAGTTGAGCGGGGATATGCGCTATACAAAAAGTGGCCAGTGAAAAAGCAAAACAAACCAAAACAAAACAACCCTCCCCTCATACCAGAAATAAGCGCAAGGAGCAGATTCACGCAAGAACACCCACCAAACACTCACAGTTGAGGGAGAGAAGTTCGATAAACCTCACCATAATAGGTTGACATTTTATCAGTGAAATATGACAGAGGGCTACATGAAAACATAAAAGTCAGAATAAAGAGGTTTTTGACATTTGACATTGGCATATTAGCATTAGCTGTTTCCCCTTTCTCCTCGTCTCTTAAATCTCTCTCTCTCTCTCTCTCTCTCTCTCTCTCTCTCTCTCTCTCTCTCTCTCTCTCTCTCTCTCTCTCTCTCTCTCTCAGTCTCTCTCTCCTTTTCAACCCATCTACCTTCATCCTTGATCTTTGTGTTTGTCTGGCTATCTGTCTGTATATCAGTCTGTTTGCATATGTTTTATCAAGTACTTTATTGATTGTCTTAGTTTTCGTAAAAAAAAAACAACAAAACAACCTTGAACAATACCCAACAGAAAAAGTACAACAATAAATTATAACGCTTTGAAAATTATTCTGTGACTTGAAAACATAACAAAATTGACTGATGCTAGAAATTTCTAATATCTTAATCTTTAATAACGAAATAGTTATAATCCAGACGTGAGACCAGCACTAGTTAGAGAGGAAAACTTCCAAAAGCTTTTAAAGCGGTGTCCGCTTAGTCAGGGTAATCCAGAAAGATTCAAAAAGTACAATCAGCGCGCACCCACATCACTAAAATGTCTGAGATTACGGGAAAGTGAAACACTGTCAAGCTTTTCAAGGGATTCCCACCCACGTTGGCAAATGAAGAAATTGTCAAACAATACCCTCTTTCTCAGTGATCAAGAAATACAGAAAAAAAATCCAGAATAGACACCCAAGAGAATAAACTAAGAAAAAATCCAAACAAGAACACCCTCCCATTTTCCAAAAACAAAACTACAACAAGAAAAAACGATAGAGTGGGGTCGGTAACCTTGTGGTTAGACCACTGGACTCGGAGTCGTGAGATTGCTGGTTCGGGGGTTCGAGCCTCAGTTCGTCCAGCGTTGTGTCCTTGGGAAAGGAGACACTTTACACGAATTTCTTTTTGGCTCTGTCCTTTCGGAGATGGATTTTAAACTAGGAGGTCCCGCCCCTCAAATAACATAACAGTGTTGATAGGGGTATTAAACCCATTCCATTACCGCTACAATAATAGAAGTGAAACGTCGGTGGCCTAGTGGGTAGGCTCTTGGACTCGCAACCGTAAGGTCGTGGGTTCGAATCCTGTCAGGGGCCCGACGTTGTGTCCTTGGGAAAGACACTTTACACGAATTTTCCTCACTTCACCCAGGTGGGAATGGGTACCCGGCTATAGACAGCGAAAGATCTTGTCAGTTTGTTAGTGTTTGAGCGCTTAATCGGCAGCT